CCCCTGGACCACAGCGTCTCCCAGCTGGGCTGCTGCCACCTCCCACCTCCTCTCTGCTTCCATCTCACCCCTGACCATCACTCTCCACGCAGAATGTTTTTAAAAGATAAATAAGATCCTGCCACTCCCTCTACCTCGTACTTAAAATCCATTGCACCTACAAACCCAAACTCTTCCCCTGGTGTGGAAATCCTTGCACAGTCAGCCCTGCTCCTCTCCTGGCTCTGCCTGGCCCACACCAACTTCTCTCTTTTTCCTGCAAGGCTCACATGCCAGGAATGTTCCCTCCTCGGAGACTCCCGGCCACCACCTCATCCACAGTCACCCCGCCCGACCCGGTCCCCGCCGCTCTGCACGCACGCGGCCATCAGATGCTTGCTTGTCCCTGTGCTTCTTCTGTCTGTCAGTCTCCCCTGCTAGGACGTGAGCCCCATGAGCGCCAAAGTCTGCTTGTGCCCTCCTGGGTCTCAAGTGCAGAGCTCAGAGCATGGCAGGTGTGCAATCGCTCTTTTTTAAAATATATTTTATTTTGTTTGTGGGGTTTTGGTTTTTTTGGGGGGGGAGGTAATTTGGTTTAGTTGCTTTAATGGAGGTGCTGGGGATTGAGCCCAGGACCTCGTGCGTGCTAAGCGCGCGCTCTACCGCTGAGCTACACCTCCCCGCACCCCAACTGCTCTTTACTAAGCGAGGGCTTCATTACGCCTGACACTGTGCCCAGGCGCTTTCCCCATGTTCTCTCTTGATGGATGAGAAAACAGAGGTTCAAGGGTGCAGTCACCTCCCCAAGGTTCCAAAGGTAGAATGTGATACGGGGGATTTGATCCAGGAAGTCTGGCTGCGGAAGCGCAGTAGGGAGAGAGAGGGAGGGAGGGCAGATGGGAGAGATTTAATGAGAGAGAAGCTAAGAGAAGAAGAAAATGAGAAAGGAGGAGAGAGAAAGAGAGCAAGAGAGAGAGGGGAAGAGGGAGAGAGAGAAGAAGAAACTGACAGATTGCCAAGAAAGAAGTGGGGGGGGGCGTGAGTCCAGGGTCTCCTCGCTGTGTCCCTCTCCCAGCCCCTGGGGCTCTCTGACCGCAGCCTGACTGCTGAGAGCACTGAGCTGGAAGCTTGCAGCACCTGACCCCAGGAATGTGTCCCTGTGGGGGCAGGCCAGCCCAGCTGGGGATGTTTATAAGCCCCAGGGGGAACCCTGTTGGAGGCAGCAGGCAGGATCTCAGCCCAGCGCAGGATCCAAGAGCCCAGAGGCAGTCGGGTGAGTCCCCACTCACTGTCCTCTAAGAGCCCGGCAGTCTTTGTGAGCCACTCTCCCTGTGGCTCCACATCACTGTGATTCTCAGCCACCGGACGTTGTGTCTGCAGGTCTCTTCTACAAATGGTGTCTCTTCAATTCCTCCTCTGTCTCCCCTTGTCTCTCTCTTTCTCTCAGTCACTCTCTCCATGAGTCTGACTCTCAGTCTGTCTCTCATTCTCTCTCAGCTGCTCCATCCTCCCTCCATCCTTAAGGGTCTGGTCTCCACCCTCCTACCTCCCCCAGTTTACAGATGGAGAGACACCGTCTCCATCCCTTCCTCTCCACCTAGCTCTCTCTCTCTTTCCACTTCTCTCTCCCTCTCAATCTGTCTAGATTCTGAGTCTCTTGGTCTCAGACCCTACATTGTGTGTGCATCAGAGGGAGGTGGTTATCAGTCCTTGTCTGCCCAATAATATCCCAAGGGGACAGGAAGAGAGAGAGAAAGAGAGAGATGGAGAGACCTGGGCCCCAGGGCCCCTCAGACTCACCTGAGATCGACCTTCATGCCAGGTGCTGAATGATGACCACAGCAGGAAACCCCTGGGGCTGGTTCCTGGGGCACCTTATCCTCGGGGTCACAGGTATCTGAGCGTGCGTCTGTGTGTGACAGTCTGTGTCTGAGGCAGTGTTTGTTACTGTGCAGGCATGACTTTGTCCCCCTGGACATGACTACAGCTGCATGTGTGACCACTGCTCTCTGGTTGGGCACGTGTGATCCCTGTATCACAGGGAGTTTGTACGTGTGCCACCTGTGTGGTGTGTGTGTGTGTGTGGCTTTGCACACCTCTGTGTGACACAGTGTGACAGGGTGTGTGGTCATACCCGTGAGAATCGGTGCGTGACGGGGCAAGGACTCTGACAGTTTGTGCCTCTGAATATCCTATGGAGTGACAAAGTGACAATGTGAGGCCGTGGACATGAGTGATGATGCTTTGAGGACATGGGACGCCTAGAGTGCCGCTAAAAGAGAGATTGTTCTTCTGGGAGAGTCGCCCATTGCTGGGAATCTGTGCCTGCTTCCTGGGTCTCCGATCCTCGGACCCCAGGGACCCGTATCACAGGACAGTGTGATGGGGTTTCTGCGTGAGCCACCTTTTCTGCTGCTGTGGGGGAGGCTGAGCCAGGGAAGGTGAAACTCTGAGGGTCACAGAGGGTGGCACTGCCTCCCTGAGAGCGTCCGGCAGTGTTGCCCTCGCCTCTGCCACCTTGTGTGAGGGGTCTGCTTCTGCTGGGAGGCTGTGGCCCCGGTAGTGCACGTGCCTGGCGTGGCGGTGCCTGAGTGTGTGTGTGCGTGTGCGTGTGCGTGTCCTGGAGATCGGTGCGTGCGCGCTCAGAGCTGAAACTCTCCTCTTGACAAATGACCCTACCTCCTGTACCCGGATCTCAGCCTCGTGAGTTCTAACCCACCCCAAGGAACCTGACCCGCAGAATAAGAGCCCTGCACCGTGACCCTGCCCCCAGGAGGCCTGATCCCACTTCCTGAGTCCCGCTCCTCATTCTTGACTTCACCTCTAAGAGCTTGGCTGCCCTCAGGTCCCCTGACTCCATCCCTGAGACGCTGACCACAATCCCTGCGCGTGACGCCGTCTCCAAGAGCCCTACCCCGCCTCTTGAGTCTGTCCCTGAGCCCTGACCACGCCCCTACACCGTGACCACACCCCCGAGCGCCCTGACCACGCCCCCAGGAGCAAGTGTCCAGCATCCTGAGCCTCTCCCCACCCCTGACCAGCCCCCCAGGAGCAAGTGTCCAGCATCCTGAGCCCTCTCCCCACCCAGGCCTGACCACGGCCCTGCACCTGGCCCTGCACCTGGCCCCGCCTCCGGGAGCCCCTGTTCCACTCTGAGCCCGTCCCCCCAGCCCTGACTCCGCCCTCAGGATCCCCGGCCTCGGGCGGCAGCAACCGCATCATAAACGGCGAGGACTGCCACGCGCACTCGCAGCCCTGGCAGGCGGCGCTGTTCTTGGAAGACGAACTTCTCTGCGGGGGCGTCCTGGTGCATCCGCAGTGGGTGCTGTCAGCCGCACACTGTTTCCGGGAGTGAGTGCTGGGCGGGGTGGGGACGGGGGCGGGGCCGGGCCCTAGGAGGGACCTGGATGTACTGCTAGCCGAGGCAAGGGGCTTAATAGGTTCAGTCTCTGGGTGTTAAGAAGTGAAAACCCGCCGTGAAGGCAGGCTCTGCGAGGGAGGCGGAAAGGACTGTTGCTTTGGAACCGCTCAGAAAGTCCTGGTGGAAATCCCAAATCCAGCGGCTGAGTCACTAGTGAATTAAGGCAAATCCCTACCTGTGAATTAGGATTTGAATCACGGCCGAGTAGCTCTTAGTGCGTAGCAAGGAGGACGGGGGTAGGGTAAGGGGGGGAGATGGGGTTTTGACTGAGGGCAAGAATGGAGATAATGGTGTAGTTGCCACAAAACTATTCTGTGCCCCCGTGGCCCCCAGTTCCTACACCATTGGGCTGGGTCTACACAGTCTCGAGGCCGACCAAGAACCAGGCAGCCAGATGGTAGAGGCCAAACACTCCATACAGCACCCAGAGTACAACAAACCGTTTTTCGCCAACGACCTCATGCTCATCGAGCTGAAAGAATCCGTGTCCTGGTCTGACACCATCCAAAACATCAGCATCGCCTCCCAGTGCCCGACCCCTGGGGATTCTTGCCTGGTTTCTGGCTGGGGGAAGCTGATGAATGGTGAGCTCGGGAGTGTGGGTGTGTCCGCCCTCTCTGAGAGGTTCTCTGCCCCGCCAGAGGGGCTGACCCAATGTTCTGCGTCCCAGGCAGACGGCCCAAAGTGCTCCAGTGCGTGAACATCTCTGTGGTGTCCGAGGAGATCTGCAAAGCAGTCTATGCCTCGGTGTACCACCCCAGTATGCTCTGTGCTGGTGGAGGCCAGGACCAAAAGGATTCCTGCCACGTAAGAGATGGGGCAGAGAAGAGGGGGGAAGATGCAGGGAGAGGTGGAGAAGGGATGGGACATGGGGGAGATAGTGATCAATGGGGAGAGAGACTGAGAGGAAGAAAGAAATGGACACACAATTAAAATAAGCAGAGAGAGAGAGAGAAAGAGACAGATGCAGGGAGGCAGAAACACACATGTACAGAAATACACTCAGAGGGAAACAGATACACAGACTCATAAAGATGAACTGCAAAGTGAAGTAGGAAAAAAATACATACAAAGAGATGCAGAGAGGGACAGGGACTCTTGGAGTCACTGAGACAGAGGAAGAAACTCTAGGAGTAGACAAAGAAGGAGAGGCACAGAGAAAGAACAGCAAAGAACCCTGGAGAATGGGCCAGCTGTGAGGACGCAGGGAAGCAGGATTAGGTGCGGTTGGTTGGGGCTCTGGAATGCAACGTCTAAGGGACATGTTGCTATTCTTTTTTTTTTTCTTTCTTTCTTTCCTGTCTTTGTCTCTCCTCATTTGGTTCCTCTCTGAGCTCACGTTTATCTCCACCTCTCTGTGTTTTGGATTCTCATTCTCCGTCTCTCCACAACAGGGTGACTCTGGGGGTCCCCTGGTCTGCAATGGGTACCTGCAGGGCCTCGTGTCCTTTGGACAAGCCCCGTGTGGCCAACCCTCCGTGCCCGGCGTCTACACCAACCTCTGCAACTTCACGGACTGGATACAGAAAACCATCCAGGCCAGTTAACTCCTGGGACTGGGACCCATGAAACTGAAACCCCCAAATATATGCTGCTGAAGGAATTCAGGAGTTTGGGTTCCCAGTGCCTTCCTCCCTCTGTTCCAGGAGTCTAGACCCCCAGGTCCCTCCTCTCTCAGCCCCAGGAGTCCAGGCCCCCCTAGAACCTTTTCCTGTACACAGTGCCCCCTAGTGGCACAATGTTGACCCCGCCTTCCCATTGGTAGAGAAAGTTGGTTTTTCCCCTTTTTTGTCCCTTCCCCTAAGCCCAGAAATAAAGTCTTAGAGAAGCACGTGCTCTGTTCAAACTGTCCTCCTTGCTTCCATTCCCTCCAAGGGATTCTAGCAAATAGCTTTTCCTTCTTGGGCCTCAGTTTCACCATCTGGGAAATGGGAGCATTAATCAGGAGGGCCACAGGGTCCCAAAGGAAGGAGATACACTCGGGAGGTTAAGAGAAACTGATTCTGTGGGTGTTGTCCAATTTCTGCAAAGTCAAAGCAGCAAGGCTCAGTCTTTTTTTCTTTTTTTTAATGGAGATGCTGGGGATTGAACCCATGACCTTGTGCATGCTGGTCATGCACTCTACTACCGAGCTACACCCAGCACCCACACCTGATTGGAATTTATTGATAAGGGCTCACTAAGCAGAAATTCTGGATTTCATCTTGCAGATTGAGGGGTCAGAAGGTCTCTGGTTATTTGTTTTGTTGGCTGAAATATGGATCAAAAGGTGGCCCTGCACTAGATGAAGTTGAAATGGTAGAACCATCTTGATAAACTATGGAGAAAGAAACCCAAAGACTTCAGGAGATGGGATGTTACAACAAATATATATTTGAGACCTGCTCGCCCATGCTGGGGGCTCCAGAGACACATTTTTCATCACAATTATGACAAATAAATTTTCAAGGGGAGCCAGCATCCTTGGAGAGTTCTGTGATCGCTCTTCTCTGTAGGTCAGAAAGTACAGTAGGAAGAGAGGCTACTGAATGGGAAACCTAAGTGCAATGGAGATAATTGGGTCCTGTGGTGTTAGGGGGCCAAGTGGTAGCACCTAATCACCAAGACACGTGGATGTGGTTGCTGCACTAGACATCAGAGTCAAAGCAGTAACCGGAATCATCTGATCACATGGTCACAGAGACTCAAGCATTGGCTAGTTGATCATGGCACCTGTAGCAGAGAAACAGATGGGCAACATGAACTTCTTTGTTGACCCGTATAAGCAGAAGTATTGTAGGACACATGGACAGAAGTCTGACTTGAATCATAAAACAGAGACGCACAGCTCCCTAGTCAGCTCCCAGGCTTGAGTCCATTGACAGACCCAGAACCCCTTGAATGAAGGGGAGGCTGAATCCCCATGAGGACAGACTCAACTACACTACCAAAACAATTATATACTGTTAATTTCTCTTCCAGCCTTCCCCCAAAGGGACCTACAACCTTTTGCTAGGGTCACAGTTTATTGGGATAAGGGAGATAATCAGAGTTTGGAAGGATTCATGGACCCTTGATCTGAAGTGACAATAATACCAGGAGACCCCAAAGTCACTGTGGTCTGCCAGTCAGAGCAGAGGTTTATGGAGGACAGGTGATCAATGGAGTTTTGGCTCAGGTCTGTCTCACAGTGGATCCAACATGTCTTTGAACCTAGTCTATAATTATTTCCCCAGTTCTGAAATGCATGATTGGAATAGACAGACTCAGAAACTAGCAGAATCGCCGCATTAGCTCCCTGACTTAAAGATGAGAGCTATTGCAGTATGAAAGGCCACACCTAAACCAGTGGAGCTGTCTCTACCTAGGAGAATAGTGAAACAAAAGCAATACTGCATTCCTGGAGAGACCAGAGTTTAGTGCTGCTCTCAAGAATTTGACAGTGGTAGAACGCATGCCTCACATGCAGAAGGTCATGGGTTCAATCCCCATTAATTACTTCTAATCATCATCATCATCATCATCATCATCATCATCATCATCTAATTACCTCCCCCCCAAAGAAAACAAAATGTAATTTTAAAAAAATTTAATGTAAAAGTTGTTTAAAAAAAAGAATTTGAAAGATGTAGGGGTGGTGATTATCATCAGATATCTAGATCTACCCTGGAGAATGTGGATTTAGCTGAGCTTCCATGTCCAAATCTGTATGAGTGTGTGTATGTGTGTGTGTGCGTGTGTCTGTCTGTGTGTCTGTCTGTGTGCATGCCCTTAACTTAATTGGCCATATTTGAATACACACATAGGAACATCTGTGCTGATTCTGTTTTTTTTTTTTACCTTGGTGCTTTAGAGTTTTATTTTTAACGTTTTTTTTAACATTTTTTATTGATTTATAATCATTTTACAATGTTGTGTCAAATTCCAGTGTTCAGCACAATTTTTCAGTCATTCATGGACATATACACACTCATTGTCACATTTTTTCCTCTGTGATTTATCATAACATTTTGTGTATATTTCCCTGTGCTATACAGTGTAATCTTGTTTATCTATTCTACAATTTTGAAATCCCAGTCTATCCCTTCCCACCCTCTACCCCCCTGGTAACCACAAGTCTGTATTCTCTGTCCATGAGTCTATTTCTGTCCTGTATTTATGCTTTGTTTTTGTTTGTGCTGATTCTTGAAGCTGTAACCCATGCACATGAATTTCAGCTGCAGGTGCATTTTATACATGTACCTAAGTTCGGAAGCCCAGCTGTTCATATACGTATGTCCATGACCTTGTGTGACCACATCTGTGTCCTTGTATGACACTGAGTTTGACTAAGCCATCCAGATTCTGAGACCAAGACTATGCGTCATACATACTGAGTGGCCACATCTGTTTGATGTCTGTGACAGATCAGTGACCTTGAATGTCTGGTTCCAAACGTACACCTGTCAATCCCTATACACGTCTTCTCCAAGTCTAATCACAAGGACTTCTTTCCCTCCACTGGTACCCTCTTTTTCTCTGTCCCGGTTTCTAGGGAAAATAGGCAGCAGTTATAAAAAAAAAAAAAAGAGCGAGCGAGCGAGAAGACAGAGCTTAAGACAATACAGCAGGGACTTCTGGAGAAACCGGGGGTAACACGCAAGTGAAGATTATGCCCTCAGTTTCCTCCTCTATTCCATTCCCCACCTGCCGCGGTGGGTCATTCTAATCTCAGAACTGACCTTTTCCCTGCGTGCTACTTCGGGGTAATGCTAGAAGCAGTGCGCCCTGCACCCTAAGAGCTTGAGCTCACGGTATGAGCTGCTCACAGCCAGGGCTGGGGGCGTGGCCTCGGATCCTTGAGCAGGGCTGGGCAGGGGGCGTGGCCTCGGCTCTGAGTGGGAGCAGAATGGGGCGTGGCCTCAGCTCCGTGGGCGGAGCTGGACGGGGCGTGGTTTTGCTGATTATTCTGTGAGCAGGTCAAGGCTGGGGCTGTGAAATTAAGAAGTTAAATTTCTACTCAGGAGGGGGCAGGTGACCCAGCCATAGAGATCTGGTCATGGAGGGAATCATTTGAATCCAGACAAGAGGTCCTAAAGACTAGGGCAGAGGGTAGAGTCTCCTATGATGGAGACTTATTCAGCCCTGGGTCCGAATCCCAGCTCAGCCTCTCAGGCAGTAAGTGAGTGAGATCAGGCCAGCTGTCTTTGAGTCCTGACTCCTCATCCTCGGAGTAAAGGATGGGGATGTAATTGGAGGTAAGTTTGGGATTGAGGGTGAGGCTGGGTTGGCAATGGGGATGGAGATGCGGATGCGGTTGCCAAGGAGCTGACCTGCCCTTTGGTCTAAGATGCAAGGGATACCTGCAGGGCCTTGTGTCCATGGGAGAGCCCCGCTGTGGGAAACCCCACGTGCCAAAAAATCTGCACAAACCTGAGACCATTCACTGATTGGATCCAAAAACTCCTGCACACCAATTGAACAAATCCGAGTACCAAGGTGTCTCCAGCCTCTTCCCTCCCTGCTGCCATCAAGATCCACCTTCTTCCTCAGTCAGAATTCCAGAGAAGTCCTTCCCTCAAAGCTTGCTCCCTCAGACCCAAGAGTCCCCGCCCCCACACCGTCCTCCTCAGACCCAGAAGCAAACTTCCGACAAACAAACGCACATTGGCGCCACCTAGCGGCAAGACTCTCCCAGGACAAGAAGAAAAGAGGATCCCTCCTGTTACCAGCACAGCACAAAAAATAAAGTCTCAGAGAAAAACCAGGCTGTACGTGGGGTCTTCCCCCTGCTCAGTGACACAGTCTCAAGCTGGGGTCTCACACATGTTTCCTTTCCCTGGGTCTCAAGTTTCCTTATTTGTAAAGCGGAGGTCTTGATAAAGGGGTTTCAGAGAAAGGTGCCAAAACAGAGATGGAGAACCTTCGCTTCTTCAAGTCCTGATCTGCCTCTGCCCAACTGTGTCCTCTGTGAAAGACCCCACAATCACACCCACCCCAGGACTCTATTCTGGGGAAAACAGAGCTGATGATGGCCTTGGATCACTCAGCACAGATTTCAGGCACAAATGCTTCAAAACACTCCTACGAGGCAGAAGCAATTACTATTCTCATCCTACAGATGAGGAAACTGAGGCACAGAAAGGTCAAGTGACTTGCCTAAAGACACACATTATGTGCTGGAGGAAGGATTCGAACCCAGGCCACTCCTAGGCACTGGCCACTGATGTCCTAAACAGTCAGCCCCAATCATGCAGCCCCTTCCTATAGAGGCAATGGATTTTCTGAAACAGAGAGGGACCATGCTTGTAATAGGTCCCATCTTTAACTGGGTGATCTGAGGTCAGTACCTCCTGCTCCCTGTGCTTCCTCATTAGTTAAACAAGTGACAACAGACTCTAGACAATATCTCAGGGCCCTATATGGTCCTGAGACACTGAAAAACAAATTTAAATTCCCAGAGCTTTGGGTCATCTTAGTGATGATCTCCAGTCTCCAGAAAACAGAATCCAGATTTCAAGCCTCAGGACGCAGAATCAAGACTGCAAGATCCAGAATAAAGACTCTAATCTCCCAGTCTCTAAAGTCGTACTCCACAGCAAGATTTTAGGAATCTCAGAATCATGGAAGCCAGGCCCCTATCTCCCAGTCTAGTCTGTTAAATGCACAATGCAGATTTGAAACTCCAGACTTCACATTCTAAAGTCAATCCATAAAACCTCAGGGTCTAGACCCAGACTCTAGAATCCAGGTTCCAAAACTTAAAATTCATAATCTATCATCCATATTCCAGGCCCCAGGACTTCAAGTCCTAGATTTCAGACACCAGACTCCAGATTCTTAGTCTGGACTCTAAATTCAGAGGCCCTGAATCTAGAATCCAGGCCTAAGACCTGTCACTCAAAGGCTAGACTCCAGGATCCAAATTCCAGACCTAAGCTCTAGAAGTCAGATTCCAAAATCCACACTCTACACCTCAGATTATGAGTGCCCAATTCTAGACCCCCAAACTCAGAACTCAGAATTGGAGACCCAGAATCAACAGTGCAGAGCCCAATATCCAGAACCAGAGATCTGGATCCAGAACTCAGAACCAGCAATCAAGATCAAGAA